TAGTCCCACGCCAATCGAGTCTAGGGTGGGGAGAGGGAGCATTCGGACACGGACTAGGATCAGGAGGAGACGGAGAAGGGAGGAGGGGGGGGAGGGGGAGGAGGGGGAGGAGGAGGAGGAGGAGGAGGAGGAGGAGGAAGAGGAGGAGGAGGCGGAAGGAGGAAAAGGAGGTATGGCGTGCCATTCCAGACCTCCAGCGTCGCCAGCTCTTCACGACGCGCGCCCTGGAGCTTCAGACTCCACTCCCAGGGCAGATGTGCTCCGCAACGGGTCATTTTTTGAGCCCTGGGGTCGTGCCGTGTCGACACGGCGCCGACCCCAGCGCGTGCGTTCAAGGTTGAACGTCGCCCACGGCCAAGAGTTGGTCGACGTCGGAGGATCTACGCTATCGGAATGCTGCGGTTGATCTTCGTGGAACGGTCCGCTCAGTGTCAGAAGCCAGCGCCGACGTCATCGTGGCGCGAACCTGGCGGAAAACTGTTCGTCTGGGATCCCTGCCCGAGGTACCAGGACAAGTGCCAGTTTGCGCACAGCCGCGAGGAGCTCAAGGCGTCCGCGTCCAAGCTCTGCGCCACCTGCCTGTCCCCGGGCTGCAGCAAGGACCCGCCATTTCTGGGCTTAGATCGAAAAATATGAAAAAATAACAAAAAATAGTCCCCAGACATTTTTTGGGACTATTTTTGAATATTCCTCCTGTAGAGGGACGTGCCCGACTTAATTCTGGGCGCGGTCGGGAGCGCCCGGCGTGGGGCTTCGCGCTTCGCCCGGGAGACGGTCTAGCAGTCGACGTTTCGTCCTCGGCGGCAGCCGGCGGAGTGTCCGTGGAGGCCAGCGGACGCACGGCGACGGTGGCCCTGGGTCGGGGTCCAATGCGGGAGGGGGACATCGAGCACACGTAAGAGCAAGGACCGACCACAACGCTGTTTAGCTCGGTTCGGGCCCTTTTTTGTTTTTCGTTTCGTTTGTCGTTGTCGTTTCGTTTCGTTGTTCGTTGTTGCTTTGAACGCCCCGTTTCGTCGTTCGTTTTCGTTTGGCACTGGCTTCGTTTAAACGAATTTTGAACGCTGGGCCTCGTTTCGTTGTTCGTTGTAAACGACATTTTGATTGAAACATCGTTGTGGTCGGTTCTTGCGTAAGAGTGACCCTTCGCCGGAGTGACCTTGAGTGCGGGCTCACTGGGGTCCCCCGATCGCCGAACGCGAGGCGGCAGTGGCGTCTGGCGCGCCTGGGTTTGGCCCCCCCCCGCGGCCCCCCCAAAGCCGCGCACCAACGGTCACTCTTACCCAGGGTCACTCTTGCGTGTAGCCGAGGGGAGCCTCAACCGCGGATGACCTTATTGGGGACGGGCAGGGCTTCGAGACCGCGCCTCTCGGCCTCAGCGCACGTGCGGTGGCACAGGTGGGGGGGCGGTGCCGCGGAGAGGGGGGGAGGAGGAGCGAGGTGGGGAGGTCTTGATGGGCCCCGGGCCCCGACGACAGGGCCCTCCGTAGTTCTAGACTCGAGCAAGCGCAGCCAGCGAGTTCACAACGAGGGTCGGCAAAGTGTTCGGCGAGCCCTTTCTCCCGCCCCGTGTCACGTGCACTCCAGGGCACAGCTGGAGAGGAGCACTGATCGTGGATCGTCATTGTGTTCTCGTTGTCGTTGTCCTCCTCGCACCTCGGGGTGGGTCTCCTCTCCTCCCCCCCCCCCCGTCCGCCCGCCGGGGGGCGGCAGGAGCGCTGCCCGGGCCCCCGCAGCTTCGCCGACCTCGGGGGCGGCGCCGCGGCCCGCGGCCCGTCGGCCGGGGGCAGGCCGCCGGGTCTCGCGGGGGCACCTCTCGCGGGCGTCGCCGGGGAGATCCTGGCGCCGCACGGCCTTCGCCACGGGCGGCTTCGCCCGGTTTTGCTTCGGCCCTGGACCCTCACTGGTCTTCGGTGGCAAATCATGGAAACCTGGTATATCCTCTGAATTCCGTCTCTAGCGTCGATTAGCGTCGATGAGCGTCTGGAGTCGATGGGATGGCACCGATTGAGCGTCGGTTAGCGTCGACTAGCATCGATTTAGCGTCGATCTAGCGTCGATTAGCGTCGATTTAGCGTCGATTTGCGTCGCTTCGCAAGAGCCGACAAGATGGTACGGTAGGCTCCCATGAGTTGCCACCGAACGGGTCGATCTGGTGCGAAAAGTGGTGCAGGAAGATGTCGCACTGTTCGGCCGTGCGCAGAGGGGGGATGGGAGACGGGGGAAGGCTTCTCAGAAGCACCCCTGCTTCCTAGAAGGCGCGGGCCTTGTCTATAGATGTAGGGCTGGCGTCTTCGAAGGAGCAGCCTCCTTCTGAGTAGCCTTGCCTCCTCCCCTTGACCCCCTCTGCGCGCCGCCAATTTGTTTTTACACCGGGCGACTTCGCCCTGTTTTCTGCCCTGGACCTTTACGGGTCGAACTGGTTCGAACAGTGGTTCAGGAAGACGGGGTCTCGGGCTTTGGTCGTGATGTTTCTGATGTCGCAATCTTTTCCCACCGTCGCATCTCAGGGTCGCAATGAGGCACACCCAGACCCACAACAGATCGGAATAAGTACCGCAGTTGTGAGCCCCGCCTTCGTTGGAGCTCCCTGTGGGGCCACGAAACGCGTGAGGGGTGTGCCGAAATGGGTGCGGTGGCGTCAGGCGAACCCTGCCACTGGGGCCTTCGGCGGAGCTCCCTGTGGGGCCACGAAGCGTGTGAGGGGTGTGCCGAAATGGGTGCGGTGGCGCCATGCGAACCCTGCCACTGGGGCCTTCGGTGGAGCACTCTATGGGGCCACGAAACGTGTGAGGGGTGTGCCGAAATGGGTGCGGTGGCGCCATGCGAACCCTGCCGCTGGGGCTTTCGGTGAAGCTCCCTATAGGGCCACGAAGCGTGCGAGGGGTGTGCCGAAATGGGTGCTGTGGCGCCATGCGAACCCTGCCACTGGGGCCTTCGGTGGAGCTCCCTATGAGGCCACGAAATGTGTGAGGGTGTGCCGAAATCGGCGCGGTGGCGCCATGCGAACCCTGCCACTGGGGCCTCCGGCGGAGCTCCCTATGGGGCCACGAAGTGCTGTGCTGGCTGTGCCGAAACAGAGACATGCGCAGGGCAGAGGCAAGGAATGGGAGGAGGGAGAAGGGGGAGGAGCGCGGGAGGTGAGGTGAGGTGAGGAACGCGGGGCGCTGTCTTTTCAAAACGAGGACCCAACACCACAGGATGGTTGGGAAGAAGTCAAGGCGGAGGTTCTGCGTCGCTTTGGGCGTCTGGGGGCCCTCGCCGAGCCCAGGGGCCGTCAGAAAACCTCCGGGAGGAGAAGCCGGTCCAGGAGAAGTGGTGCAGAGCTCCGGGGACCCCGTTGTGACAATACCGGGACACCCGAGGTCTGGGAACGGGTCCTGAGGGAAACGGGCCCTCAGGTTTTCGAGCCCGTGTTTGGCCTCCCCGGGCCCAGCGATACCGCTGCTCGTCCTGGAAAGCCCTCGTTGCCGCGGCTGGACTCTTCTCGAAGTGCTGGTCAGAACGCACCCCAGGAGAGGGCCGGGGAGTGGCGGTATCTTTTCGCCCTCGCAGTGGCCGCCCGAAGGGTGGCCTCGTGGTGCGGGCCTCGTGAAGACAAAATCGGAGTAGGGGGTCGACTGCAGAATTCATTTACCCCACAATTTGTTTCGTCGAATCTGCGACACATGCGTCGACTTTTCAGCAGAATTGCGGCATCCTGCGCAGTATTTTCGCAGACGCGACGGGAAACTCAAGTCTGGGGTAATTCAGTTCTGTAGTCGATCCACTACTCGAAGAAGCAAGGCGCGACGGAGGGCGCCTGGCATTTTCTAGCCTCTGTGGCTCCCGGGCCGCGCCCCGCGGGGCCGTCCAAACTGCACGGTTCGGGACGAGGATTATGATGTTCCAATTTACTTTAGCCTTGATCGCCAGAAATAATGTCGAGCACCAAGACAGTACCGAAGCTGGTCGATTTTCACGCGTCGGGCCCTGGGAGGCGATATTCGTTCGACACTGTTTCGAGTGCTCGAAATTGTTTTTGGGATGTGGTCCTCAAGCACGACGGGAGCGACATAAGGCTCGATGCAGGGCCGACTTCCTACACGCCGATGGCGCCGATGCGCCGCCAGCGTCGCCGATGCGTCGGCGGTGCATCGGCGACGTGCCGCCGATGCCTCGGCGATGCGTCGGCGATGCGGCGCGCGATGCGGCGCGCGATGCGGCGCGCGATCGGCGACGAGCAGCGCTGCGTCCAGGGGCCGGGGCCCGGGCCTCCCCGGGGGAGCCGCGCCGCGGAGAGACCGCGAGGCGCTGGCCTGCGCGCCCAGACGTGTCGAGCAGGGCGAAAGTCGGGCCTGTCCCTCTGCGGGGGGAGTGTTCAAAGATAGGCAAAAGGTAGTCAGGGGAGGAGATTTTGTTTTTGTTTGAGCATTGTTGGAGTATTTTGGGGGTGTTTGTGGTTCTGCGTCCAGAAGCCGCCTGCAGGGGGACATGCCCGACCTGAGAGTAGGGGATCGGCTGCAGAGTGGATGAGCCCCAGCTCTGATTTTCCGACGGATCTTTTTGCAATACGTGGAACGCCACGTAGATTTTCGAACGCCCTACACAAACATACTTGGAAAAAAGCTGAGCAGGTTTGGAAGAACTCTACATCTGGTTTTCGCAGACTCGGCGAGCGAACCAATTTTGGGGCAACTCAGTGCTGCAGTCGTTCCCCTACTCGACCTTGGCCCTCCCCCCGCCCCTCCCGGGCGCTCCCCGAGGCCGCGAACCCGAGGCCGGCTGCTCCCTTGCCCAGGGCCGCTCTTGCATGTAGCCGGCAGCGTGCCGTTGTCGCCCGTCGTCGTCGTCGTCGTCGTTGTCGTCGTCGTCGTCGTCGTCGTCGTCGTCGTCGTCGTCGTCGTCGTCGGCCAGCGTGGGGAAACTTCGCCCTTTGATGGCCCCCGAGGGCTCCCCCACGCGTCGTCGTCGTCGTCGTCGTCGTCGTCGTCGGCCCGCGGGCGGGCCCGCCGGCAGGCCAGCGGCGGGCGCGGCGGCGCCGGCGCCGCCGGGGCGGAGCGCCCCCGGCGGCCCCGCGGCAGAGCCGCATGCTCACCAGGACCGCTCGTCCGTCGGCGCAGCGGCCGTCGCCGCTGCCGCCGCCGTGGCCGTCGTCGTCGGTGTCGCCGCCGCCGTCGCTGTCGGCGTGGCCGCCGTGGCCGTCGCCGATGGCGTCGTCGGCGCCGTCGTCGTCGGCGTCGTCGTCGGCGTCGTCGTCGGCTTCCTTGCCGTCGTCGTCGTCGCCGTCGTGGGCCCCCTCCGCTTCCTCCGTCACCGCGCGTCGGGCCGCGGGCTGGCACTCTGGAGGTGCTGCCCAGCCTGGGGCAGCGTCGTCGTGGTCGCCGTCCTTGGTCGTGTCCTTCTCCACGCGTCGGTCCGCGGGCCTCTCCCGGCCCCCGGCGGCGGTACTGCCGAGCCTGGAGTAAGGTGAGCTGGAAGAGGAGGAGGAGGAGGAGGAGGAGGAGGAGGAGGAGGAGGAGGAGGAGGAAGAATTCCAAGATGCGTCAGCGATGCTGCAAGACACCCTCCCGTTCCAAGTCCCCTTCTTACCAGTCCCCGCAAGTCTTCTTTTTCGCTTCAAAAAGCGCCTCATACGAGTGCCATTCAGGTGAGAGCCTGATTCCCAATCATCCTGTGGAGTTGGTGGGTCCTCGTTTTGAGGGGAGCGCCCCGCGTCCTGCCTCCTCCTTCCTCCTCCTGCCGCTCCCTCCTCCCTCCTCCCATCCCTGCCTCTGCCTTCCGCATGTCAACCACTTGGATACCCCCCCCCCCCCCCGGGAGCTCCACCGCATACCGCAGCGGCAGGGTCCGTATGGCGTACCCGCACTCCACATGGCGTACCCGCAACCGCTTCGGCACACACACATCTCAGGTTTCGTGGCCTCATAGGGAGTTCCACCGAAGGCCTCATCGGCAGGGTCCGCATGGCGTGCCCGCACCCGATTCGGAACACCCCCTCACACGTTTCGTGGCCCTACAGGGAGCTCCACCGAAGGCCCGAACGACAGGGTCCGTATGGCGTGCCCGCGCCCGATTTGGCACACTCCTCACACGTTTCGTGGCCCCACGGGGAGCTTCACGGAAGGCCCCAGCGGCAGGGTCCGCATGGTGTACCCGCACCCGATTCCGATTCGGCGCCCTCCTCACACGTTTCGTGGCCCTACAGGGAGCTCCACCGAAGGCCCCAGCGGCAAGGTCCGCATGGTGCATCCGCACCTGATTCGGCATACCCACCTCATACGTTTCGTGGCCCCATGGGGAGCTCCACCGAGGGGCTGAGCGGCAGGGTCCGCATGGCGTACCCGCACCCGATTCGGCGCCTCCTTCACACGCTTCGTGGTTCCATGGGGTCCACCGAAGGCACAATAAACAGGTTCCGCATGGCGCACCGGCGCCCGATTTGTTGCACCCTTCGCGTGTTTCGTGGCCCCATTGGGAGCTCCGCCGAAGGTCCCAGCGGCAGGGTCCGCATGGCGTACCCGCGCCCGATTAGGGGCGCCTCTCATATGTTTCGTGACCCCGTAGCGAGCTCCACAGAAGGCCTCATCGACAGCGTCCTCATGGTGTACTTGCATTCGATTTGGCACATCCTGCGAACATCCCGCGACGCGCCGGACGTCCCGAAGGACTTCGAGCGACGCGCGCGGGTCGTCCGCCGCGCGGAGTCAACACAATCGGCTGGCTGAGAAGGGGCGAGGCGTCAGGCAGAGCGCGCGGGTGCTGCGCAGGGGAGTCCCCGCGACGCGCGTTGGTCGCCCCCAGAGGATTCCAGCGACGCGCACGGGTCATCCGCGGCGCGAGTCCATACAGTTGGGCAGTAGAGAGGAGACGAGACTCTGGTGGGCCGTTCCTCAGGTCAGGCCTCGCGGAAGAGCCCCGCGAAACCCAGTTCCTTGGCGAGGCCGTCGCCAAGCTATGAAGTCCCTCCGGTCGCCCATGTCTGCTTTTCTCCCCACCCACGCCCCAATCCTCCTGTCAGGCATCCTCCTCCCTTTCACCTGCCTCGCGATGCTCGCAGCTGCATATTACTTGGGTCTTCGCCAGGCCAGTGTTGGAATGGAAGCGCCTTGCGCTGTATGACGCACAACCAGGGATGCGAAAAGCTATAATCATACGTGCTGTTCAACAAAATGTGCGGCGATATTCCGTTTTGAAGGAAGGACCTCCGCCCATCGCTGTAATGGCGCGCATTCGTAGGTGTGCTTTTACTCTGATTCTCGAGGAAGCCTCAAGCATCAAAGATCATTTTACAAATGCGCCGCCTTCCGTCCGTGCAGTTGCCACGCCTGTTATTCGTACTCAGCCATCCTGAGTTGGGTCCTCGTTTTCAGGTGAGGAGACAGCGCCCCGCGTCACTCATTCCTTCCTCCTCCTCCTCTTTTCTCCTTTCTCCTCCCTTCACTCCTCCCTTCTCCTCCCTCCTCTCTTCCCTCATCCTCCTTCTTCCTCCTACTCCTCTTTCCTCCCGTCCCTGTCTATAACCTGCGCATGTCAACAGTTCGGCACACCCCTCACACTTTCTGTGGCCCCATGGGTAACCCCACCAGAGGTCCCAGTGGTGCAGTGTGCATGCGTTTCCCCGGCCATCTCCGCGCACCCGTGGCACCATAGAGAACTCCACAGAAGGCAACAACGGCAAGGTCCGCATGGCGTACCCGCACCGGTTCGGCACATCCCTCAAACGGTCCGTAGCTACGGAGCTCCACCTAAGGCTCCAGCAGCAGGGTCCGTGGCGTGCTGGCACCTGACTCGGCGCACCCCTGGCCCCATCTGTAGTTCCACCGAAGGCCCCAGCGGCAGGGTCGGCATGGAGTACCCGCACCCGATTCGGCGCACCCTTGCACGTTTCGCAGCCCCATGGGGAGCTCCACGGAAGGCCCCAACGGCAAGGTCCGCAGGGCGTACCCGCGCCCGATTCGGCACACCCCACCCACGTTCCGTGGCCCCGTAGGGAGCTCCACCGAAGGCCCCAGCGGCAATCATAAGAAGGAGGGGGTGGGGTGGAGGAGGAGAAGGGGGGGAATCTGGGTTGGATGATGGAAGGGAAGAGGGGAACTATGCGCTGGTGGCCTTCACGATGGTGACGGTGACAGCCATTCTCGCCATCATCGCGAGTACGAGGAGGAACATTGGAACTTATGATGAGAATGCGGATGATACTACGCGCAAGGGAGGGCTTTTACGAGGATGAGGAAATGTGAGGTAGATGCGTGACAAGGATGGCGGGGCATGATTCTAGTTAGTACGCTTGATGATGGTTGTAGTGGTCGTGCCTTCGATTATTTATGACTATGACGATGGTGGCGATGACGGTTATAGTGGTGCACCAGTTGACGATGATCATGTGATCACGATGTTGACACTGGTGATGAAGATGAATATTAGGATGAAGCTGAGTATGATGATGCTGATGATGTTGATGATGGTGGTAATGGTGATGATGATGATTCTGCTGATGCTGATTCTGATGGAGATTATGATGGTGATGTTGCTATTGATGGTGATGCTGGTGACGATGATTCTGCTGATGATGATCATATGATGATGAGAATGCCAATGATGATTCTTATGCTGCTGATGGTGATGCTGCTGACGATGATTATCATGATGATGACAATGTTGACGATGCTGATGATGTTGACAATGATGGTGATGATGCTGATTAGGACACTGCTGCTGATGATGGCGATGATGATGCTGATTGTGTAGATGATGATGATGATGATGATGATGGTGGTGGTGATGATGATTATGATGCTGCTGATGCTGATTCTGATGGTGAGGATGCTGCTGCTGATGCTGCTGATGCTGATGAGGATGATGATGATGCTGATGATGATAAGGATGCAGTTGCTGATGATGCTGATGATGATGATGATGTTGATGCTGATGTTGTTGATGATGATGCTTTTGATGATGATGATGCTGATGATGATGATGACGCTGATGATGATGATGATGATGATGATGATGATGATGATGATGATGATGATGATGAGGATGATGATGATGATGCTGATGATGATGATGATGATGATGCTGATGATGATGATGATGATGATGATGATGATGAAGCTGATGATGATGGAGGAGGAGGAGGAGGCTCAGGGAAAGGCGTGCACGACCTGGGGAATAAGGAGAGAGGATGAACAGCGGGGTGGTTGGGTCAGAGTAGGGGAAGGAGTATACTTAAAATGATCACGGGTGAAGAGAAGGCGAGCGGATAATAATGCATGAAATCCAGCATTGAGAGACGGACCCTGTGCCCGGCAGGAGGTGATGAACACGGTGCAGCGGGCCATGTACGAGGCTGGTGGGCGAGACACGCCACGAGTTGCGCGTGAGCTTTTGAATTGTTATATTTCTTCTCGTCCTCTGGTTCCTTCCTCGCTCTCCCTCCTCGTCCAACTTCTGTTGGTTAGGGCTGGGGCCATGTTGGTAGCAGACGCGTGAAGCTGCCAATCCCGTCCCTCCCCGCTCCGTCCTTGTCTTGCCGCTCTTCGTACGACCTCCCAGCGGAGACACCAGAGTTCAGCCCCTCAACCTGTTCCTTCTCCTCGTCCTTTTCCGCACGTCGTCTCTTTCCCTTCCCCCCCCTCTCCCTCCCTCCTCCCTCCATGTCTCCTTCCCTTCCGCCTGCCGCCTCCCTCCTCTTTCGACTCTTCACTGCGAGCAGCGGGCTCTGGGCATGGCGGGACCAGCCATCTCGCCACCTGCCTTTGTCGGGCAAGTCCGGGGCCTCCTTCCGCTCCTCTCGCTCTTCTCTTCCTGGCAAGGCTCCAGGTTGCGCAGAGACAGCCCCCAGGCGGTTCTGGCTGGCCTCAGCAGGCCCCCCGAGCAGTCCCAGGCAGTCTCAAGTAGTGGAACGAAGAATGACACAAACATAAAAACTCGGAGGTCCGCGCGGATTTATCGGATCCGCGCTGGACCCCCCTGGCGGCGCCTCTGGCGCCGCCCCTGGCGCGCTCCGCGCGCCGGGGAGGGGGGTCCAGCGCCGATCCGAGGAATCCGCGCGGACCTACGAGTTTTTATGTTTATGTCATTCTTCGTTCCCGTATCAACGCCCTAACCCTGTGGTGCTCCCCGCCCCAGGGGGGCCGTAGGCGGCGCCAGGGTGTCGAGACCGCCCTTGACTACTCGGGGGTCCTGCTGAGGCCAGCCGGGATGACCTGGGGGGGCCGTCTGCATGCAGCCCGAAGCCTTACCATTTCTTCTGAGGACGGCGACGTTGACAACGACGACGACGACGACGCCGAGGATGACGACGACGACGACGATAACGTCGGAGGACGACGACGAGGACGTTGCAAATATTTGCCCGTGCGAGGCCGCCCAGCAGGCGGCCCAGATGGTGCTGAGGGAGGCCCTGCCCCTGCTGGAGCAGCAGACGGGCCAGGCGAGAGCCGGCGCGGAGTCGTCGGCGGCGTCTGCGTCGGCGTCGCTGGTGGCGTTATCGCAGAGAGGGAGGAGGAAGAGGAGGAGGAGGAGGAGGAAGTGGAGGAGAAGGAGGAGGAGGTGGAGGTGGAGGTGGAGGAGGAGGAGGAAGACGAATCATATAATGTTAGTAGTCGTACCAATAATGCGAAGACAAATCGTGTTAGCAATACGATGGGTACTGGTATTAAGTGTACTACGAATAATAAGACGAACGCAAATAAAACGCATACGAACAATCAGTGTTCTATACATAACAATGATAATACTGGTCAATACCAAACAAGACTAGGCACATAGTACCAGTAATCTTATTAATCACAAGGAGAGGGGGATGTGGATGAGGACGAGGAGGTCCACTGTAAAGCCAAGATTCCTCAGCGATGTTGGAATAAACCCTCCCTCCAGGCTCCCTCTTCACAGGCCCCTATAATGATATATTTCCACTTATGGAAGCGGCCCGTTGGGAGATAACCGTGTGAAGATTCTGAAACGTGCCAAAGTATTTTTCTCGGGACTTCAACACCGCGAATCAACTTGACAATTGCGGTTTGACGATCCTGAATCGTGTCAGATCACCGTTTCTGGGACCTCAGCACCGCGAATCAACGTTAACTGCTGCGCCCTGACCATCCTGAGTCCTTCCAAAACGCCCTTTCTGGTACGTTAACCATGGCAGCCAGTGAAGCTCTTACATTTCTTAAGAGGAATATGCGCGGCGCGAAGGCGATCACCACATTTTGGAACAGAGTCGCCCTCAATCCGTGAAGTTCTGGCAATTTTTGAAACGAGCGTGTGCGGTGCTAAAACGATAACCGGATTTTGAAAACGACCCGCCCTCAATCCGTGAGGATATGGCACATTTCTAAGAGGAGCGTGCGTGGCGCTAAGGCGAGAGCCACATTTTGAAAACGGCCCGCCCTCAGTCCTTGAAGCTCTTGCAAGCTTTTGAGACGAGTGTGCGCGGCGCCAAGGCGAGAGCCACATTTGAAAACCACCCGCCGTCAATTTGTGAAGCTGTTCCATTTTTCCGGGCGAGTGTGCGCGGCGCTAAGGCGCGAGCCACATTTTGAAAACCACCCGCCTTCCGTTTGTGAAACGGCTGCGGACTTTTGAGCTTCAGGATCAAACATGTAATCCCGTCCCAGGCGAAACGGCCAGCCCGCCCTTCTGACTGGCCTCGGGGTGAGACAGGGAGGAGTGACTTACAAGGGGACGGCATTGATGAGGAGGCGGAGGAGAAGGACGACGAGGAGTGGGCGGAGGAGGAGGAGGAGGAGCAGAAGGAGGAGGAGGAGGAGGAGGAGGAGGAGGGGGAGGAAGAGAAGGAGGAGGAGGAAGAGGAGGAGAAAAGGAGGAAGAGGAGGAGGACCAGTTTAAGCCCAAGAGTCATTAACGTTGTTTGAATGCACCCTCCCTCCAAGCTCTCTCTTCATAGGCCCCTACAACGGTTCAATTCCACTGAGGGAACTGCCTCGTTGGAAGGCAACCGTTTGAAGACCGTGAAGCATTCCAAAATATGGTTCTCGGGGTTTCCACGCCACGGATCAACCTGACTGCTGCGTCCTGACGACTTGGAGTCTTGCCAAAACGTTTTTTTCGGGATTTCAACACCGCGAACCAACATAACTGTTGCACCCGCATAACCCTGAATCCTTTCCGAGACGTAATTTCTGGTACGTTGATCATGGGAATCCGTATTTGCGCGGCGCTGGGGCGAGAGCCACATTTTGAAAACCACCCGCCCTCAATCCGTGAAGGTCTTGCAATTGTTCAAAAAGAATTTGCGCGGAGCTAAGGAGAGAGCCACATTTTGACAACGACCCGCCCTCCATCTGTGAAGCTGTTGCCACTTCTAAAGATTCAGAGTCATAAAGGAGGAGGAGGAGGAGGAGGAGGAGGAGGAGGAGGAGGAGGAGGAGGCGGAGGAGGAGGATAGGGAGGAGGAGAAAGGAGGAGGAGGATGAGGAGGAAGGACTGGGGAAGAGCCGTCGTTCCCACTATGGCAATCGTCGGTTGGAGTCGCTCGGCCGCATCACAATCGCCAGGCCAGGAGGGGGAGGATTATTCGTGCACGGCCTTGCTGGATGGCAATCAGATCCCTGTCTGGAATTGGAAGGCTTCACCTGCACAGCAGATGAAGTATTGCATCAAGCAGATGGCATCGGTTCTCGTAGCCTCCAGATGTGCATTCAGTGTCTGCTGAAGGAATCTCACCGATACTGACTTGGCAGAGTTGTTCGTTGGCCTGAATGCAGGTGTCTCTCATGGCCAGACAGCTTGCAACTGGTTGCTGAGACACCGCCGTATGGAACACACGGCGGCCCAGCCCCCCTGCCAGATTCGTCAGTAGTCAGAGATTGGCCGACGCCCAAGGCAACCTGACCAACGACAGCACCAACGCGGTGGCTTGTGATTGGTGCCCTGCTGGTAGAAGGGCGTGAAGCTGGACGAACGCGACCGCACTTCCGCACTGTACGATGCTGGCACACTCGCCGAACTGCCGGGTCAGGCAGCGCCCGTCACCTGTGCTGCAGACCCGGGGGCTTTCCCAGCTTGCAGGGGGCCGAGGAGTGTCTTGGGTGCCCCATCGGAACCTGCGCAGGCGCTCCGCGGCAGGAGAGTGCACAAGCCGCACCTCGGCCGAGAGGGAAGGCTTCCACCGCCACCCGGGTCATGCCGTGCCGAGTGGTTGCGGCTGGCTTGTTTTCTGTCGGCCGCAACGTCGCGGGAGAGCGGTGCCTTCGCTCGTAGTCCTCGTGGTTCAGTTATGCTGGGGACGCGGGAAAAGAGTGCACGTCCGAGGTGTGCCTCGGAGAGGGCTGACTGCACCACTGTGGTTGCAAAGCCTGCCGTCTCTCGGTCCCAGGTCCCCAAGCATTACCGTCCAGAGCCTTTCCCCAGCCTCCCGGAGCGACACGCTGCCAGCCTGCAGGGCACAGCGTGTCGCAGGGGCCGCCGCCGCGACACACTGAGCAAGCGTTCTTGGCCGTATCTTAGTCGCCACCTCGCTGGTGGCCCTTGCGCACGCCTTGATCCCGAGCCATCGGCCTGTGCTGCAGGACACGTGTGCGCAGCGGGAGAGCACGATGATACCACCGTGTTCGAGAAGAGCCGTCGGATGTTGCATGTCGGCAGCAAATCTTGGGATCATTGTCTACCCTCGCCATTTATCGGTTTAGCGTCGACTAGCGTCGGCCGACAAGATGGATGTCTGCGCGCCCAGAATGGGGACAGACAGTATGGATACGATGCCCAACAGCAGCGCGTGTTTATCTGAAGCAGGATTTGTTGTCATCCGGGGCCCATCGGACAGCATATCTTGTCATTTTGACAGCATGGCCAGTCCATTTGACAGCGGTTGTTGTCCACATGGGCAAAAAGTGGTGCCAAAACGACAAGGCGCGTTGTGAGAAGGGGTTCGACGGACAGCTACCATTGTTCAATCTGAGCAGGTATTATTGTTGGGCATCGTACCCATACGTTTCGTCCCCACTTCGAGCGAGTATGGGATGCTCCCATGAGTTGTCCCCGAAGTGCACCTTAAATTGGCTCTCGCATCTGAAGGTGGAAGTGACGCCCAGGACGGCCCTCTCCGCCCTCTGCGACGCCAGTCGGCCCTCTTCGAGGAGCACCCCTGAAAGCACATCACGACGGGCTGACCTTTTGCCCTGATGCAGCAGGAGGTTAAAAAGACGACCAGCAGAGCTACCGGGTGCTGTGACATCCCCAGTATGACCACCGACTTGCGAACTCGCTTCGATGGGGGCGTGCGTTCAGGAATGTGCCCGAGAGGCTTCAGACCTTGGATGATTCCTTATCTGATGAGGGCGGCGGTAATCTGCACGGCCGAGCCTCACTTTGTGTTTCACCGGCTTCCAGACCCTGGGTTCTTTATCCAATGATTAATTCTCCAATGTCATCACGGTCTCACCGCCAACCTGCGAATTCGCCACGAATCGGTAATTCGCCAAGGTAGCTGCCGTCGTCGACGGCAGCTACCATTGGCCTGTGCTGATGCGAGCGAGGACTACGCCTGCAGGTGCAACACGACGGGCCGACCTTCCGCGACGCAACCCTGGCGCACCTGACCCAGTTTCAACCCTGCCATCCTCTATTTGCGGGGGAACGTGAGATTCGAGTTCGCCGGAACTCGGGTGTAACGACGCTTTTTGACGGGCCCATCCTGAGTTTCGACGGGCCAGTTGTCGTGCAATGTTTGCAGCTGTAGCTCGCATCAAATTTCAGATTGGGTCTCGCCATTTTCCCTGACGGCCCTGTCAGGCCACTCCGAGTCCCCCGAAGCCGAGTCGTACGTCTCTCCGACACTCGGCGGCGCCCGCAGGGCTGTGACGCGAGGGGGGTGGGTTTCTGGGCAGGCGGGGGGCTTCTTAGAAGGCAGGGGCCTTTTTGGAAGGGCCCGGCGGCTTTTCAGAAGTCCTCCTGGGAGCCAAGATGGTTTCCAAGAAGGCCTCTGCCCTCTTAGCGGGGCTCTCTCGCCCTCTTGGCAGGCCGCCCCCCTCGTGGGCGCTGCCAACCTACGACGCGAGGTGCCCGGCCTACGCGTCCTCGAGGCTGCCCGTCAGTCACCGAACCGGTTCCGCTACTCGCAAAGCGCCGACTCGCAGACATACAAAACACAATGTTGTTCGATGCGGCGGAGCGTGTTTGCCTCGATGAAATGGATCCATGCCGTTTGCGAGGAGCTATGTTCAGGCGATCGCGAACATGGATCAAGGGGGCGTGGGTTAATGACGGGTCCCGTTTCCATGGGAAATCGCAGATTTCTGCCGCCAGACGAGGCGGAACCAGCCGCATTTTGGGGAGGGCACCTCCCCCGATCCATGTTTGCGCGCCCCCGATACGTTGCGAGTAGTGGACCGCGCTTGTCTAGTCAGTGGCCCTCTTGTGCACCTCTGGTCGGCTCTGCGCTGGGCAGTGCGGTCGGTGCTCTCCCTCTAGGCCTCCTGGATGCGGTCGGAGTGGATGGGGTCGGAGGATTGCGCTGCACCGCCTCGGCGATGCGGCTCGATGCGGAGGCCGTGCTTCCGCACGCCGACGTCGCCGACGCATCGCCGATGCATCGGCGATGCATGGGCGATGCGGCGCGGTCCTTCGACCCCGCCTGCTCGGACCCCATCTGGGAGGCCTCTGCTCCTGCTGTGCGCGCGGGGCGCGAGCGCTCCGAGGGCGCCGGCTCGCCGCGGGCGTGCCTCGCCGTGCGGGGGGGGGTGCCGCTCTCCGCGCCGTCGTGGTCGCCCGTGATGCCCGAGGCTGGGGCGCGCTCGCGCTCGCGCGCTCGGACACCTCCGAGTGGCCCCCTCGTCGAGCGAGGCGGGCGAACAAAAAAACACCGTTCCTATCTCTCGAAGAAGAAACGCCACAAGCATAAACTTTTGGCGCCTCGCGCGGATCTCTTGGAGCTGCGCTGGTGCCCCCCTCCCTGGCGCGCGGAGTGCGCCAGGGGCGGCTATAGGCCCACCGAATAATGTTCTTCAAAGAACCTTTTGTGGACTGCACGACGTGTTCTTAGAGCATTTCTGGCTGGGATCGTCTTCTTTCACCACATCGGGTCTATGTTCTAAGGACATTGTTTTCACTCTTAAGGCATTGTGGGGTTCGAAGAACATGCCGTGGTAGGCTTAATTCGGGCCTGTCCCCCTACAGGTGGAATTGTTCAAAAGTAATAAGACATAGTCAGGGGACGATTATTTGTGTAAGTTTTTTTTTTTTGTTTGTTTGTTTGTGTGTGTGTGTGTGTGTGAGATTTTTTTTTGAATATTGGTTTGACTGTTTTCGCTCTTTCGCCCAAAATCCGCCTGTAGGGGGACATGCCCGACCTAACGCTAGGGGGCCGGCACGTGCTCAGCCTGTTCAAGCAGTGGCGAAGCGTCCTGGCTCGCCTATAGGCCAACCAGAGAACGTTCTGAGAAACTTTTGTGGTCCGCACGAGATGTTCCCAGAGCATTTCTGGCTGAGATTGTCTTGTTTCACCACACCAGGCTTATGTTCTAAGAGCATTGTTGTTTTCTTGGTGTAGCCAGGACCCCAGGTAAGGGGACCCGGTTAGTAGTAGGGCCCCGGAGCCCCTAAATTGGCCAGAATCACCAAATCAGGTCAGCCGTAGCTGGTGTTTTTTCGGGTGACGGCAGTTCCGGTCAGTGGAACGAGGCGGGGGGGGGGCGTCCCCCAGTGCACACTACTAAACCAGGTCCCACTCAACCCAGTTCTGCCAACGCCGTACTTCTGTTCTTGGAACGTCCTGGAGTTCTGCGAACATGCCGTGGCAGGCCTGTAGGAATGCCGGGACGGTCGGTCCTTGCTCAGCACCTCGCGCCGAGGCGCGGTGGGCCAGAGCTGGTGGCGCGACACGCCGGCCCCACGCGTGCCTGGCCGCGGGTGTGCGCCCGCGCGGGCTCGGCCTCCGTGCTCGGAGGAGGAGGAGTCGAGGAGGAGGAGGAGGAGGAGGAGGAGGAGGAGGAGGAGGAGGATCTGTCCATGATGATGGTACGTTCCACGGCTTCAAGGTCTTCCTGCTCCGCGGGGCTTCAGAGACGAGGGTCGCTAGACCATCTGGAGCTCCTGTAGCGCATCCTGAGCCAATCGCATAACAACATCATTCTGGTTCTAGGTGCCTTCTGTCCTTCTTCTGCCCCCCCCCCTCCCCGTCTCATCTTTCGTCCACATGTGCGCCATCCACGAGCCGTGGCGCTTGCGGGCCTGTTGCGGTATACCACCGCGCCGTGTGCCCGCCTCCAGCTTGAGTTGGCCTGCCTTGCGCGTGCCTTTTGTTCCAAAGACAGGAGGGCACGAATCGTCAATGGTGTTCTTACCTTAACCGCATGCCGATGATAATAAAGGGACCCCCCCTTCAGTGTTTAGAGTTGATTATCGTCGCCCTATACAAAATTCAAATTGGGCGGCGAGCGCTGAGGCCGAACTTCATTATCACCTCGAAACGCTATGTTGAGATAGCAACATTTTTTATTTGTCCTCACGCTCGCCTGAACTTTTTTTTATCCCTGGGGTTGATTATCCATGGAAAATGAAGCACATGAGCTACTACCCTACACGAGCACTTAAAAACAACAATTTTCATAAAGCGTTTGTAAATTAAAATTGATAGATTTGGAACTTTGGATTTTTCCTTTCTTCGTCCTCTTCTTATTCTCCTCTTCTTCTTCTTTCTTATTATTCTTCTACTGTATTCTTCTTCTTTTATATTTCTCTCTGTCCCCACGCTCGCCTGAACTTTTTTATCTCTGGGGTTGATTATCCATGGAAATTGAGGCACATGAGCTACCCTACACGAGCACTTACAAAAAACAATTTTCATAGAGCGTTTGTAAATAAAATATAATAGATTTGAAACTCGAGATTTTTTCTTCTTTTCCTCCTTCTCCTCCTCCTATCATTTCTTTTATTTTATTATTTATTCTTTTTATTTTTCTTTTTTATATATAGCTTCCTCCAATCATCCGCCCGCCTGAACTTTATTATCGCCGCCGTTGATTATCTAGGGACGCCGAGGCGGATGAGCTATTCCGAGGATGTCTCAAGCGAAACAAGCATATACTCGAGAATGTTCGAAGCGAAACAAACATATAGATTTCTGAAGCGAAACGATGCGTTTCTTAAGGATGTCTCAAGCGAAAACAGTAACAGGCTTGGTCTCCTCTTGATCATCTCTTACTTCGAGATTATGCTGAGGTCTGCTGGGCTACTTTTATATTATCTCTCCCTGAACCCCGAACTTTATTATCCCCTAGTGTTTATTCTCACGGGCATGAGGTTATACCATCATATCTTCATCTCGCGCTGGTGTTGGACAACTCGTGCGGTCGCTTTTAGCGACAGTCTGTGGTGGCTGGCGCATGCACGATCTGGTCGCCCTTGCCGGCTTCCCTCCTCCGCTGCTCCTCCTCCTCCTCCTGTTTGTGCAGTGCTCTTCGCTCACCCTCCGTGGCGCGCTGCGGGGCATCATTGCTGCAGCACGGCGCAGGGGCTCGCGGATGGTGCAGTCATCGTCGCTTGGTGAGCTCGTTATCAAAAACATATCCGTTTTTCGCGTCGTGTTGGGTGGGATGATGTGCGGGTAGCGCTGGCAAGGCGGCTCTACTGACGCCAGCCTTTCGAAGTACTTCGATCTTCTAGCGTGTTTCTAAATGGCTGCACGTATGAGCAGGAACGTTTAGGCACCTCACGTTTGCCTTGCTATTCTGCAGTGTTGCACGTCGTACGTAAAGAATCGTAAGCCCAGACCTCCGACAACTTGATCGTTTCGAATCGCTGGCACTAGGAGCGCTGAACTCCTTCCCGCGGTCCAGCTTTTCTCCCCGAGTCGTTTTTTGTCGGTCCTAGGGCCCGCAATCGGCTTCCAGACGCTGAAACAGGTGGAGCACATCTGGCGCGATGCTTTCCAGTCGTCATGAGGTCGGGGAACGCGGCAATTCAGCTGGACCACGGTATTGGGCTGACGTTGCGCGTTCCCCCCGCGGGCCTCTGCTGAGGGGCGGAGGAGGGCCCGGGGAGGGGAGTATCGGAGGCGGAGAAGGAGGAGGAACATGATGATGCTGCTGATGATGATGCTGATGATGATGACGATGATGATGTTGCTGCTGATGATGATGGTGATGATGCTGATGATGATGATGTTGATGATGATGATGCTGCTGATGATGATGACGATGATGATGATGATGCTGATGCTGATGCTGCTGTTGCTGCTGCTGATGATGATGCTGCTGATGCTGATGATGATGCTGATGATGATGAAGATGATGAATAGGATGATGATGATGATGATGATGATGATGATGCTGATGATGATGATGATGCTGCTGTGATGATGAGGTGATGATGATGATGCTGATGATGATGATGCTGATGCTGCTGATGATGATGCTGATGATGATGATGATGAATGATGATGATGATGATGATGATGAGGAGGAGGGGAGGAGGAGGAGGAGGAGGAGGGGAGAGGGAGAGGAGGAGGAGGAGGAGGGAGGAGGAGGAGGAGGAGCGGAGGAGGAGGATGAGCATGAGGAGGAGGAGGAGGCGGAGGAGGAGGAGGCGAAGGAGGAGGAGGCGCAGGAGTAGGAGGAGCAGGAGGAGGAGGAGGAGGATGAGGAGGAGGAGGAGGAGGATCGGCTGCTCCCAGGAGGGACCCTTCGCTGGAGTGCTTCCCTCGGTGCCTGGCTTTCGGGCTGCGCGGGGGGTGGTGGGGGGGTGGGGAGGGGTGGCGGGGCCAAGTCTCGGGCACGCAGGCCACAGTACCGTTACATCGCAGGCAGCGGTCGGCAAGCTGCGCACCTAACCCACTCCTCTCCGACAGTGCAGCTTTTTTTCGTGCCGCAGGCTCTCCCTGACGTTCGACCACTTCCCCAGGGCCAGTTCCTCATCCCGAGTCGTTTCTGGACGAGGCCAGGAGGCGGTCTCGAGGTGCCGAACGCGCCGACAAACCGCGGGGACGACTGTTCTGCGTCGCCTGGCTCTGAAGAGAGGTCTCTCTTGCCCAGGGTCACCCCTGAGCTGGATTTGCTGTGGGTCGTGAGGATTGCCTTTCGGCTTGGCAGGCCCACTAAGACAGAAGTCGCCACAACCCGAAATGTGAAGCTCGAGCCTTGCCCTGCAGCCGAGGGTCAGGAGGGGAAAACACACAGATATTCAATTCATCGTCGATCCCCAGCAAAAATCGAAAATATGGAGAGTGGGGGGGAACACGACAACCCAGAAACTATGAGAAAGCATGGGGAACCTGGGGATTCGTATGTTCATTTGTGTGCCCCCCGTGCCCCTTCAGAGAGGCGGGAGGCGTTGACGACGGCGCCGACGACGACGGCGAGGGCGGCGGGCTCTCGGCACGCCGCAGGCCCGCGGCAGCATGCTGGTCGATCGGGCGAGCGAGCAGGCGGTGACCACCGCCCTGTGGCACGGCGGGCTGCAGGCGCGGGCGCCCGACGCCGACGACGACGACGACGACGCCGACGCCGACGCCGACGCCGACGCCGACGACGACGACGACGACGACGACGACGACGACGACGACGACGCCGATGACGCCGACGACGACGACGACGCCGACGACGACGACGCTGTCGCTCCCGATCGCGGCTCCGACCGTTGAGGACGGCGACGACCACGACCTCTGACGACCACGACCCTTGACCGTCCCGGAGGCCCCAGTAGGCTCCGGGAGGCGCCGGGCAGGCCCAGCCGGCGCCGCGCTCGTTCTCGCGATCCTCGGTCCTCGACCCTCGATCCTCGATCCTCGACCCTCGACCCTCGACCCTCGATCCTCGACCCTCGACCCTCGATCCTCGATCCTTACGGTCCTCGAGCGTCGGGGGCAGCGCCTGCAGCAGGGCGGGGAGGGAGGAGCCAGTTTCCCGGCGTCCGGGGCCGCTGCCGGGGCCAGGGGGGCCGTGCAAGAGCAGCTCGGGAGGAGCTGGCCTCCCCGGACGGCGGGGTCTGTCCCGCCCTTACAGCGCCAGCAGTGGGGGCCCCGACTGGGCGAGGCTGCAGTGGAGGCCTATGCCAAGAAGCACCCTGAGTTGCCTCCAGGGTGCCCTGGGTTTCTTGGGCTTCGATGGTTTTGCCAGGGAAAGCGTGACGTTCCCTCACCCAAACTCCATGGACGTCCTGGGATCTCAGGGTTGGGTTTCCTGTGGAAGGTTCCTTGTGGGCCGGCCTCCGCTGTGTCGCTGTTTTAAACAAGAAGGGGCCGATAGAGCTGGAGGGTTTCTCCGAAGGCCTTAGCCGACCCGTCCTCCTCCTCCCTCCTCCTCCTCTTCTCTCTCCTCCTCCTCTTCTCTCTCCTCCTCCTCCTCCTCCTCCTCCTCCTCCTCCTCCTCCTCGTCGGCTCGCCTACGGTCCGGGGGGAACCGTCCAGAGAGAGCACCGAGAGGAAAGCTGTTGGAGGTCTGTGGCCGCCAGCGCGAATAAGGGGCGCCGGGGGCGCCCGCGCTGCCTCTGGTGGGCGCCCCTGAGAGAGAGAGAGAGAGAGAGAGAAAGAGAGAGAGAGAGAGAGAGAAAGAGGGAGAGAGGGAGGGAGGGAGAGAAAGAGAGAGAGGGAGGGAGGGAGGAGATGGCGACAGGGAGAGAGGGAGAGAGAGAGAGAGAGAGAGATGGAGATCAGAGGAGGACACATGTACCGATGCCGCTGCCCTTGCCTCGGTTTCCTCTTTTTGAGCCTCCTGTGAGGCCCCCGTCGCCACCGCTGGATTCGCCTCGAAATTCTGGGCAGAACGCACACCCAGGAAAGCTCCCGGGAGTAGCGGTATCGGCACGTTATTGTTTCCCAGCAGAGGGAGCAATCAGGAATCCACGCATCTGTACATATACATATATACACAAGACTGCAGTGGTGCTTCGCGCCATGCGCCTTGGTCCTTGACGCTTGGTATGCAGGCGGAATAGCATGAAGGTCAGGCCGACAATTTAGCGGTAACTCCTGGTTGCCTTTTCTGGCATCGCCGCTATAATAATGTTATTCGTTATCCTTCCTCCATGCTTATTTTTCCTTCTTTTCGCCATGCCCTGCGCATTCTCCCCATCCTCCTCCGCTCTTTTTTGCGGAGCCTCCTCCTTGGAGAGCCTCTAGGGGCCTCACAAAAGTTGTTCCAGGCTTTCTTAAGGCCTTCTGGAGACCTCCTGGGCGTATTCTGGGTGCCTCCAGGGGCTTCCTCGGGCCACCCTGCCTCCAACCGCGGTCTCCCTGAACGACCGAATCACGAATTGGAATTCTTCGGAGGGTGTCTTTGGGCCATCTTGGGCCGCCATGGGGCTCTCCGAGGGCCCTCTTGGACCCGTGTTCTGCCGTTTTGGGGCTCTCTTGGACTAGCTGGAAGCCCTTTCGGATGGTTGTGGGGCGATTTGGGAGCCTCCCAGGCGGCTTCGGACGCCCAGAAGACCTCCGTTTCGGAGCGTCGGGAAGCCGAAAAGAGGAGAACCCCCAAATTCACCAAAATCTAAAGAAAATCGATGATTTTTGCCTCGGGGGGCCTTCTTGGGAGTGCTCTTGGAGGCCTCTTTGGGGCCGTCCTTGAGGCCTCTTGGGGCCTCCTTGAGGTCACGTCGGTCACTCTCGGAGCGCTCTTGTGCTGTCTTGGAGGTCTCTCGCAGGGACGCCCCAAGAGGCCCCAAGGAGGCCCCAAGAGGCCTCAAGGACGGCCCCAAAAAGGCCTCCAAGAGCACTCCCAAGAAGGCCCCCCGAGGCAAAAATCATTGATTTTCTTTAGATTTTGGTGAATTTGGGGGTTCTCCTCTTTTCGGCTTCCCGACGCTCCAAGACGGAGGTCTTCTGGGCGTCCGAAGCCGCCTGGGAGGCTCCAAAATCGCCCCACAACCGTCCGAAAGGGCTTCCAGGCAGTCCAAGAGAGCCCCAAAACGGCACAACACGGGTCCAAGAGGGCCCTCAGAGAGCCCATGGCCGCCCAAGATGGCCCAAAGACACCCTCCGAAGAATTCCAAATCGTGATTCGGTCGTTCAGGGAGACCACGGTTGGAGGCAGGGTGGCCCGAGGAAGCCCCCGGAGGCCCCCAGAATACGCCCAGGAGGCCTCCAGAAGGCCTTAAGAAAGCTTGGAACAACTTGTGTGAGGCTCCCAGAGGCTGTCCAAGGAGGAGCCTCCGCAGAAAAGAGCTGAGGAGGATGGGGAGAATACGCAGGGTATGGCGAAAACAAATGAAAACGAATCATGGAGGAAGGATAACTAATAGCATTGTTATAGCGGCGTTGCTGGAAACAGCAACCAGGAGTTATCGCTAAATTGTCGGCTTGACCCTCCTGCTATTCCGCCTGCGTACCAAACTTCAAGGACCAAGGTGCATGGCGCGAAGCGCTACTGCAGTCTTGTATACATACTCCTCTTCCAATATTTTTGCAAGCCCGGGCGGGGGGAAAACCCGTCCCCCCCCCCCAAAACCGGAATCCCGCCGGGATCTGGGGCTCTGGGACCCTCCAGACGGGCCTCGAAGCGGCCACCGGGCCTCACATGGCGTTTTGCCAAGCCTTCCAAGCACACCTAGGGCGATCAGGGAAGTCATCGGAGGCGTCCCAGAGACCCCCAAGACAGCACAAGAGCGCTCCAAGAGTGACCGACGTGACCTCAAGATGGCCCAAGAGGCCTCAAGAACGGCCCCAAAGAGGCCTCCAAGAGCTCTCCCAAGAAGGCCCCCCGAGGGACACATCATTGATTTTCTATAGGTTTTGGTGAATTTGGGGGTTCTCCTCTTTTCGGCTTCCCGACGCTCCAAGACGGAGGTCTTCTGGGCGTCCGAAGCCGCCTGGGAGGCTCCCAAATCGCCCCACAACCATCCGAAAGGGCTTCCAGCTAGTCCAAGAGAGCCCCAAAACGGCACAACACGGGTCCAAGATGGTCCTCAGAGAGCCCCCATGGCCGCCCAAGATGGCCCAAAGACACCCTCCGAAGAATTCCAAATCGTGATTCGGTCGTTCAGGGAGACCGCGGTTGGAGGTAGGGTGGCCCGAGGAAGCCCCCGGACGCACCCAGAATACGCCCAGGAGGTCTCCAGAAGGCCTTAAGAAAACCTGAAACAACTTTTGTGAGGCCCCATAGAGGCTCTCCAAGGAGGAGCCTCCGCAGAAAAGAGCTGATAAGGATGGGGAGAATGCGCAGGGCATGGCGAAAAGAATGAAAAAGAAGCATGGAGGAGGGAAAACGAATAACATTATTATAGCGGCGATGCCAGAAAAAGGCAACCAGGAGTTATCGCTAAATTGTCGGCGTGGCCTTCCTGCTATTCCGCCTGCATACCAGATTTCAAGGACCAAGGCGCATGGCGCGAAGCACCACTGCAGTCTGGTATATATATATATATATATATATATATGAATATATGTATGTATGTATGTATGTATGTATGTATGTATGTATATATATATATATATATATATATACATCGGCGCTACGAATGTGTTGACCAGTTTTGTGTTTTCAGCTAAACAACGCCTGAGCATCACATTGGTTATGAACACCACGACGGCCGTGAGCATCGCTCCAAAGCCCGGGGAAGTCCTGGGCGGAAGCGCCATTTCGAAATCAAACCCGAAGGTTTCGAATTCTGTTTTGGAGGAAGTCCTGAGCGGGAGCGCCATTTCGAGTTCGAACGGAACAAATGCCGAACCTCATTTTGCAGGAAGCCCTGTGCGGGAGCGCCATGTCGAAATCGAGGCAGAAAGGTTTCGACTTCCATGTTTGAGGAAGTCCTGTGCGGGAGCGCCATTTCGAAATCGAAGCAGAACTGTTTCGAATTCTATGTTTGCGGAAGTCCTAGGCGGGAGCGCCATTTCGAAGTCGAACCCGAAAGTTTCGAAATCGTTCGAAGTCGTTGTTTCGAGGAAGTATTACGCGAAACCGCCGTTTCGAAATGGCCACACCGTTTGGCATTAAACATTTTAAAGCCCTGACCCGAAAACTCGAAAATGCAGCTTTCGCTTAGGGCTTCCTCCCCAAAACGAGCTCGACTGGATTTCGAAACCCTCGGGCTCGATTTCGAAATTTGGCTTTCGCCTCGGACTTCCTCCCCCAAACGAGCTCGACTGGATTTCGAAACCCGCGGGCTCGATTTCGAAAGGGCGGTGCCGCCCGAGACTGGAGCGAAAAAAGCTTCAACCGAACATTGTACTGGGGCCCCGCGGCCTAACGGGCCCACTGCCAACGTTGTACTGGGGCCCCGTCGCCTAACGGGAGGCGTTGAATTTTGGCCGAACTTTCGTAGCGGCGAAGTATATATATGTGTATGTATATATATATGAATATATATATATACACATGTATACATGTATGTATGCATATATATATATATATATATATATATATATATATCCCTGGGGGCGCGGCCGGGAGCCCCAGGACAGGTGCCCCGACCCCCCATGGGGGTACCGGGGCTCATTTTCCGTGTGTTTTTACAGGGTTTCCGCGT